CTCTGAAGTCCTTCTTTTTCATCCCTTGAGCCCTTCTTGTTGAGTGTCCTCATGCCCCCTCTCATCCATTACTTGTGCAATGGAGAAGGCTACATCAGCCAGGCCAGCATTGGCTTTCTATCTCAGTATTGCACTTGGTAGGGTTGCTGGGGCTGCTGCTAGGCCACAGCCCCAGGCGGGGCGGAGAGGCAGATGACCTGCTGCACTTCCAGCTGGGCTGGAGATGACCACTCCCACTTGGGACGACAGCGGGCCTCCCCTGCAAAGAGTGTGCTGTCCTCGAAGCAAAGCAGTCACACACAGATGGCCATGGATGGAATTGTTTGCCAAAGAAATTTCTGGCCTTTCCCTTTCCCTTAACTGCATCAGGGAAGAATCTTTATCTCTGGCTTGGTTTCCACATGAGGTTGTTTTGAGGAAGGGGACTGGAACAAGAAATCTGTCATGTAGTTACGTAGGCAAGAAATCTTATTAATCCAGTTTTGTTTGAAAGTTGCTTGTCCATATGATTTTTTTAAAGTTGTTTAGTTTCACAACTTTTTTTTTTTTCTGAAATTACTTTTGGGGTAATATTTAAAATGAGCGACATTTTGTAACCCTGTAAAATACATAGGGAATATAACATTCCAGTGTACACAAAGAAGGAAAATTCTTTAATCAAATAAAGAGTATTATAAAATGAATGTTTATTAGACTCTTGGCTCTCTCATACTTTGGTGTCTCCTTGCTGATTCGAGATGATGTAACGGGATCTAAGTTTAAAAATTAATGATATGTTTTTTTTAAGAGCAAAGCATCTCTATCCGAGAGTATTCATTGCCTTCCCCCACATTACAGGGATCGTGCCTCCATGTGTATTCTCCATCGGAGCGCACATACACGTACACGTATACGTGTACTCCGGTCCGTGGAGTGTTTTAATTTGATGCTACTTACGGACTTTTGGTCTTAATTTTTTGTCAGGGGCAGTTGTAGAGTCAGAACCATGAGGCTTCATCTGTAAAGAATAACAATGATCGGTGATGTCTCAGAGCATTCTCTTCCCCATTAGAGCAACAGTGGTAAGAAAGTGATCCCGGGGTGAGGGATGGATGGATGCTTGGGGACTTTTGATAATTCCCTCAGGAAAGTCTTCATCCTTACTTTCTTTTTATGTAACTTAATTAACTATTGACTGTCAACAAATTCTTTGGAAGACAAATTACTTTCTGTAATGAATAACGAGTGTCTGGGAATGATAAAGTTTCTTATCTTCAGGGTGAAAGCCAAGAGTTTGAATTTTTTTCTTCCTTAAGAGAAATAACGAAGTCTCTGGTCTGTTGCTGAAGCGTGGCGTGGCTCTCTGAGACTGTAACCCTAACCCCGGGGAGCGCGCCGGAGCCATGCCACGCCCGACTGGCACTGGTCCCTCCACCGCACCAAGTGGACCTTTTGTTGGCCTCTCGTGAGGGAGCCGAACAAAATAATTAGATCTGACTGAGCATTCTGGTTAATGTAGGAGGTTTGTGGTTCCTGCTTTGAATTAATTAATTCCACACAGGAGGTAGGGAACACACCTCGTGGTCAGGAATTCCTTTCCAAAAAAGATCTGTAATTCATCTACTCACAGTAGTTTCAGACCCCCTGGATCTATCAACCCATGCATCTCTGACTCCGGAAGCTTTGCCCTCCAATTAATGTGAAGTTGTCCACACTGAGTAGCTTCTGAGAGATTTCCAGGCTTGATACAGAGTAGCTTTTTTAAAAAAGTTCACATCTGGTCGGGCTCATTGAAGGAAGATAGAAAAATAGAAAAAGCCCCATCCTCAAGAAGATGAAAGTCTAACTAGAAGCAATGGCTACCTCCTTTATAAAGCCTTGTCTCCTCAGGTAGACAAGTGTTAACTATGGCTGGTGCTAGTGCGAGTCTCAGTGAGGGTGAGGAATAAGTAGGGGTCTGTCTCGTAGGCTTCAGAGCAATCTCTTAAAGGAAAGCAAAAACTCCGAATTAACTCCCCTTTACTATGCACATCTCATTGCAACCATTCTCTCCTTCCATTTCCTCTTCTTGCCCCCTTTGGTAAATCTATTTGCCGCTATAGAGCTTTGAAACTCCTAGAGGCTCCACAAGTCACTGGGTGCTGTACGTCACTCTTACCTGAGGTTAGAAAGCCTCTTTACAAGCATCAGTCTCCCATCTTACCCTCGGGAGTTAGAGGTTTACGTGGAGCCAGACCTTTAGGAAGACTATACCTTTCCAAACTAAGCTGTTGCCCACTCTCAAACACAAGCAATCTAGCCACAAAGCAGTTTTCAGAAGCTTGGGTCCCTTCCCACTCCTCCACGCCCCACAGACAGAAAGGTTTTTTGCCTTGCTGTTCATAGGGCAGGGGCTAAATGGCTACTTAGGGCTTAGCCCATTTCTTGAAAGCTCCCCTAAGCGTACTCTGTGATCAGGTTGATAACCAGACGGGCTGGTTGAGAAAGAGGCGTTACATTTTCAAGGCAATGAGGCCAAGTGGAGATAGGTTTTGTTTCCATTCTCTTGCCCAAATCAGTGGTGGTTCTTTTCAGCTCATAGGAAGGTCCTGAGCCTACACGGATGTAGATGAGACCAGTCTTCCCCCACTACCCAAACTGCCCACTCAGCTTTGGTGTCTCTTAGCTTTGGGTCTGAGCATGGATTGTGCAATTTCTAGGACAAGCCGAGGAGAGACCTCCTGCTGCAGAAAGGTTTGAACATTTCCCCAAGTTGGATGCAGGGAGGAGTTACTTGGCGTCATTGCTGTCACCACACCTACGCTAATGATGCCTGAGTTCAGGATCCGCAGAGGCCAGAAAGGAGAGCTTTAGATGTGACTGTGCAGGGTTTGCTTGCTGTAATGAGCAATAATCGCCTCCCTCTGGGGCGAGGGGGAGCACAGAGGTGGGAAGATTGCCTAGGCAAAGGCAGGAGGGATGTGGAAATAGACTCCTGACATTCATAGCCAAGTGCAGAGGGCCTTCAAAAATCCACTCTTCCTTCCACACCCAGCCTTTGCCCTCTCCCCCCTGCTTCCAGTTTGGAAAGTCTGAAGCATGCTTGGAAAGCTGTTTTCTGCTTTCTTCTCTCTTCCTCCCCCTTTCCTGAGCTCCCAGCTGCTCGACCTCTTGCGTAATTGTGAGAGAGCACTGAGTTTTTTGATGGGCTCCAGATGTGCAGCGGGTGGGGGTGGAGGGTGGGGGCGGTAGGTCTGTAGTCCCCTGAGTGCTCTAACTGTGGGAACATAGGGCCTCAACCCAGCAGGAGTGAGGACACATTGCACAGAGCCTTTATCATGGGGTCAGCTGGTCCCTGGGTGGGAGGAGAGAGAGAAGATGGGTGCTGTTTCGGCCCCCTGCCTCTGCGTCAGCTGCCCTGTGGCGGGCTCAATCATTCGCTGAAATTCCTCCTGACTGAGATGGTAAAGAAGATCTGGGAGTTGTGAAACAGTTATGTGAAAAGACTCTGAGGTACCCCAATCAGAGCCTCTTCCCTCAAATGCTGGGTCTTGGCACGTAGGATGCAATAGTTGGGGTTTTGTTTCTTTTTCTTTTACCAGAATAGTCTCGAAATTACTGTTGTGATCTGCCTCATGAAAGGTGGCCAGAGTCAAAATACCTTCAGGAGCCTCAGACAGTGTGAAGAGAGGAAGAATAAGAGGCTTCCTCCCATCCCCCAAATCCTGGGGCTTCCTGGTACCCACGATGCCTGCTGGAGCCTTGCTTGTTTGACCTCTGTTAGCCACAGCTGGTAACTGCGAAGTGTCTTTCCCCTCCCCCTTCCCATCCACTGCCTGGCTCCAGTCAGCCCCAGCCTCCAGCCGTGGGGGGCCCCCCTGCTAACGCTGGCCCTGTCAATGAGTGACCAAAGATTGCTGCAGTTCAGCCTCCTGCTGTTCCAGGGTTAGGGAAAGGGGGCACAAACTAAAGCCACCGAATCAGAACAAGGTATGTCCATCCTAAAGAGGGCAAATTATTTTCTGCTATGTGCTCCAGCTGGAAGCCTTGGGGGCTTTCTGCTCCCTCATTCAGTGAGGAGGAGTCTCGGGGATCCCTCTAGGGCAGGTTAAAGAGGTCCAGCCTAGCTGAGGTCAGCTCCCTAGGGCCTCCCTGGTCAGTCTCCTGGGGCAAGAGCTGGCTTTGCAAGGTAAGGATCCACTGTCCGCCGCATTAGATTTCGGGGTGGGGGTTGAGATGAATGACTTCAACTAGGCTGTTTCTAGACTCCTCTTGGGTTTTTAGTCCCTCCTTTTCTTCCTTATTAGCCCCCTACTCCTCCAGAGACCCAAACTGCTATAGGATGGTGTACTCAATAGTCTGTCTATAGCTTGCGCTCCACCCCCCCCCCCCCCCCCCGTTGTAAGTCAGCAGGTGGTGGTATGGCAGAGCTACACGGACGGGGGCGAGATGATTCAGTTCAGGTTTCTGTGCTTTACACTTCCCCAGGGCACTTTAACGTGTCTTCTACCTCTCCTTAGAAAAGTCTGTGAAGCCTGATGTGCAGGGTTATCAACTCCATTTACAGCTCTTCATGGTAGGGCTTGGAATAGGGTGAGGAGGAGGGGTGATGGGGTAAACCTGGGTCCCCTCAGCAGATATTTTCTGGAGATACTGAGACTATGCTGGAGGGCTCTGCCACCAAAAAGTTCACTGGGAGCCACGGAGGACTCAGCCACCTAAGGTTTTAAAAAAGCGGGCGGGCGGGGGGAGAGAGTGAGAAATCGTCAAAAACACCCTTTCAGAAGAGCCTTAAGGCCTAGGGGTGGAGGGTGGTCTAGGGGAGTCCGAAGGGGAGGAGAGGAGGGGGAGGGGTGTGTGTGTTGATGGTAGTGGAGAGCCCAGCTGCAGAGAGGAACAAAGCGGGCGCTGTGCAGGCGGGGGGGGGGGGGGGGGGGGGGGGGGGCTGCTATGGGAAAGGTGGGGGGGAACCTTGGGCTCCAGCTCCACAAGGGCGTCTTCTCTGGCTGGCCTGGCAGGACCGGACGGGGGACGGAGGCGGGACTGGGGGGCGGGACTTCTCGCTTTCCTCCCACTCAGCGGGCTCCCAGGGAAAAGCAACAGTGTCCTCCAGAGCCCGAGGCCGCAGCGGCCGAGCCAGGCGAAGGAACCGGTGTCCCCCTCTCCCCGCGCGAGGTAAGGACGCTCTCTCCCACTAGGCCCGTGGGTCTCGCTGGCTGAGCTTCTGGGACTGGATAAGGGGAAGTCCCAGGGCCTGGCGGGAGCCCTGAGATCAGCTCTGGGCTGGGGGGCCCCAGAAGAAACCGTGGGGGAGGAGGGGGCGCCCCAGGTGAGTGCAGTGAGGTGGGGGGACGGCCGAAAGGGTCTTTGTGGGGACGGGCTCCGCAGCTTTTCCGCCGGCTGCTTGCTTTTGCCCTCCCGAGCCTCTGTCCGCGCAGCCGCCAGAGGGGGCCCTCGCGCTCCTCCCCGGGAGGGACGCTGGTCCTTGCCCCGTCCAGACTCTCCCGCGGGCACCCAGACGGCCGGTCGGGCGGACACTCGCGGGGTCTCGTCCGCCCGCGCCGCGCCCCTCCCACTCAGCGGCCGACGGCAGGACTGAGAGCCCTGCCCCGGGCGAGGGGCTCCCCTGGGCCATCTCGGCTCCTGTCCCCGGCCAGGTGGCCTGGACGGACGAGGAATGTGTGTGCCCAGTCCAGCCCGGAGGCAATGGGAATCCGGGAGGGACTCTTGGTGTGTTCAGGAGTTGGGAGGCGCGTCCGGGGCCTTCCGAGCCCTCCTCCGAGGCCCCGCATCTTTAGGGGTCCGGGAGGCCGGATGGGGCACCTTTAGGGGGGTGAGTCCCAGGTTCTTGCCACGCCCTCCGGGTCCGGATTCGTATCCCTAACGGAGTTCCCCGAGGCAGGGGGCTGAGCCTGCCATCCGGGTTCCTCCGGGATGGGGAAATGCGGGCGGGCGGACGCGGGCGGCGGGGCCTGGGAGGGGCCGCCGGGCGCGGGGTTGCCGAGGCGCCCACGGACGCTTCCGCCGGGGCTGGGGCGAGCGGGGGACCTGGCCGGGTGGCCGCGCGGCCCGGCGGGGAACCCAGGGAGCCGGGGCGGGGCTGCATTCTGGGCCCGTTAGCTCAGCCGTCCCGGAGGCTCCCGGGCTGACTCATCGGGCCGTTCGCACACAAACACCAGCTCCTCACCACGTCAGGCATCCCACGCAGCGGACACGCACCGCGCCCCACCCCGTGTCACCCACGCGCCGGCCCGCCGCGCGCGCGGCCGGGGGCTCGGCTGCCGTCGCACGCGGGGCAGCCTTCCGCACGCCTGGACCTCCGCCCGCAGTCCGCGCGCGCTGCGCTCACGCAGTTCCCGCCCGCACACCCCGCCGCTCACCCTCGCAGCCCTGCGCTTACCCTCGCACTGGGCTGAGGGTGCCCTCAGCCCCCCTTCCCGCAGCTACCCCGCGGGGAGCGGGCGGTGTCAGAGCGGCCGCCCCTTTCCCCGGCCGCGCAAACAAGCGGCTCCTTCTCCCTGCCCGGCCAAAGAAAGGCCGCTTGTCCGGCGTCCGCGGCGGGCGGGGCGGCTCAACACTGCGGCCTTGTCCCACCTGGCGGCCCTGGGCAGCACAGGCCCAGGGCCAGCGAGGAGCCTCGCCCTGGCGGCAGTCCCACCCTGCCCGCGACCTCGGAGAGGGGCGCTTTCCAGCACCCCTCCTGCTCCCCCATGAGAACCAGAGCCCCACTCTACACTCCCGCCTCTCCCCGGCTCTCCTCCATCGAGCCTCCGCCGCCCGCCTCTCGTCTTTGATCGCTAGCGGCCCCGGCCTGCCCTCAGTCTCCTCTTTTCTTTCCTTCCCCTGGCTCCCCTCCCCTTGGTTTCCCCCTCCGCTGCCCTCTGTACGTTCTAGGGCTGCCCCTGGCCGTCGTCCCCTTTACTTGACGACCTCTCTGTCCTGAGTCTCCCCATCTCCTTCTTTGTCCCCCAGACCCTCCACCTCGCAGTCCCTCCGTCTCCACCCAGCTCTGCGTCCCCAGGCCTGTTTTCCCATCTTCTTTCCCCTCCTGTCCGTCTCCCCAGCTCTCATTTCTCCTCATCCCTCAGTCTCCGTCCTTCATCCCGCCCCTCCATCCCTGCGTCTCCCCTTCTCCGCCCGATCCTGCCGCTGACCCCTCAACCCCCCCCCCTTCTCAAGTTCTCTCCGCCCCGGCCTTTCCACACCCCTCCCCGGCCCCCGCCCTCCGGGCTCCCAGCCTCAGTTTCCTTCCCGTCCGGACTCCTTCCCCTGCCGGCGTCCCTTCCTCGAGGGCGGATGCGCGTCGGGAAAGCGACGGCGGCGGCGGGCGGAGAGGGTCCCAGCTCGACCCCGCAGGCCTCGGGCCGCGGCCATGCGACGCCCGAGGCGAGGTCTCGGCTGGTCCCCCCGGCCGCAGGTGAGGGCTGGAGCGGTCCCGCGGGACCCCGGGGAGCGCCGGGCTAGCGCTCGGGGACTCGCCTGGGACCTTTGGCCGGGGGCCCGATTTGGAGCCTGGACTTCCTCCAGTGCCTGTTGGTTGCAGACCTTTTCGGCCCTTCCTCTGGCCTCCCGTCACCCTAGTTCGGGCGCCGAGACCCCCCGAGCGGTGACTCCGGACACCCACTCTGCGGAGAAGCTGGGGAGGGGCTGATCCCGCGTGGCCTGGGTGCGCGCGCGTCCCCGCTGGGCGAGGAGTCCGGAGGGGCCGGGCCTGAGCGGGGTCACCCGCGGGAGCCCTGGCCTTGCCCACCGCGGGGTCCCTCCCTGTTGCACGGCGGCTCCGGGCTCCCAGGCCTCTGCGGCGCTGCGCCCCAGGAGGTGCGGGAGGGCCACGGAGAGCCGGGGCTGACCGCGGCGCCTCCCTCGCCTCCCTCCTTCCCAGGAGCCGGCCTCGCGCCGCAGGGGCCTTTTTTTGGCAGCGGGACCGGGCGGGGCGCTGGGAGAGGGTAATTACTGCCCGGGGTAGTGGGTAGCCCTGTCCGCGGAAGCGGGTTGGCGGGTGAGGGCGCCCCGGGCCCGGGGTGGGGTCCAAGGAGAGCGCGCCCCCAGGTGGCGGCGGGGCAGCCCCTTTGTCCGAGCGCCGCTGGGACGCGCCGGTCGGGTGTAGCTTTCCACTGCACCTGGGTTGGGTTTCAGAGCTGGGCCCACAGCCTCGACCCTGCTGTTTCTCCATCTTTTCTTATCTTCTCGGTCTCTCCCCACACCTCCCTCCTTATCATCCCCCTCCTTTCACATGATTGTTTCCTTCTTTTCTCTCCTCTCATCACTCCTGTTCCCCATCAACCTTATTCCTTTACAGTCTTCATCTCCACTTGAAATTCTTTGGTGTAAATGAATGAACACGCCCAAAGCTGCCTAACGGGGTGACAGTGACGAATTTGACAGATAAAGACGAAGTGACGTGTTCTAGATCTTGAAACCCATACTAATGACTGGCATGTTTCTGGTGCCTTGCGCTTCACAGAGGGTCACTTAATATAATAGCTGCATCTCCAATCTTTAAAAAAACAAAACAAAACAGTTTTATTGGGGCACCTGGGTGGCTTAGTGGGTTAGGTGTCTGCCTTCCGCTGGGGTTGTGATCCTGGGGTTCTGGGATGGAGCCCTGAGTTGGGCTCCTTGCTTGGCACAGAGTCTGCTTCTCCCTCTCCCTCTGCCCCCCACCGCGCCCCACTCGTGCTCTCTGTTGCTTGCTCTCTCAAGTAAATAAATAAAAATAAAAATAGTTTTATTGAGGTATAACATATATACCATAAAATTCACTTAATTGAAATGTGTTCAATGATTTTTACAGTATATTTACAGAGCTGTGCCACCATCACCACAGTTTCATTTTAGAACAATTCAGTCACCCCAAAAAGAAATCTTGTGCCCATTTATAGTCACTCTCCATCCTACCCTTAGCCACAGGCAAGCACTAATCCAGACAATCTTTTGTGAAAAAGTCATTATTCCACTTTTATAGAGAATGACTTGACACTCAGAGAATTTAAGTAACTTGTCCAAGATCTCACAGCTAATAAATAATAAAGTCAGGGTGAGAATTTAAGGCTCTTGCATCCCAGCCTAAAGTTTTCTTTCCACTAAACAGTGATGCCTTTCCTTCACCATTATTTATTGTTTTATTTTCTTACTCCCTCTTTTAGGTAAACTCCCCATTCCCAACCCACTCTTTCACCTCTCTTCCCTCGGAGAATGCCGAGGGATTTCCCTGAGTGGAAGGAAACAGGACAGCAGGCTCTGACCCTGGAAATCCTTCCCCATGGCCAGATCTCCTGGGGAGGTACCAGGCCAGCTTGGAGCTTGGTGTAGGTTAATGGCCTTTGCCTTCCCTCTTCCCAGGCAGAGTTGGGGTGGGCCCCAGGCCCTATTCCGGTTTCTCTTCCGCCAGCTTGGGTGGACACAGTGACGGACATGATGCCGTCCAGGTCCGGAAGGGTGGAAGCTGGGAGGGTAAAATTAGTAACTCTCTATGGCTGAGGCCCTTGGGCCCCACTGCCAGGGTCAGACACTCCTTGGAATGCTGGCTTCTGCCCCCACTTCCTCTCCAAGTCACCCGGCCCTGGTCGAGGGCTAGAAGAGAAAGTGGAGGGAAACCCTGCCTTCCTGGGTCTCCCTCCTACCTTGAGCCAAGCTCTCACAGCTGTCCCCAGCCCCACTTGAGCAACAAATGGGAAGCTTCGAACCTTAGCAAGATGATCAAGGGATGGGCGTGCAGGCATACATGAGTACCCAAAGGTCCCTCACATTTCTCAGGCACCAAAACTGTGAGTCAGGGAAGAAGGGATGGGTGGGAAGAGTTCAAGTTCTGGTTCTGGAATCTACTTTACCCTTGGTTCTAAAGACCTAAGCTTCCTACACCACCAGATCAGATAAAGAACCTTAGAAAACTGTATTCCTGCTATTAGTCACCACTGAGGGTTTTTTTTGCTGATTGTCTGGGGGTGAGACTGCTTTCTGGGGAAGAGAAGGTGTAGGAGTTGAGACATACACAAGGCAGGAATGGTTGAGTTTTTCCTGTGGCGTCTCCTTTAAGCAGACACCCTGTTGAGACCCCTGGGGAGATGGGGGTGGGGGGTGGGGGGGTAGGGGTAAGGGTGGGGAGAGACAAAGGGAGAGGCAGAGCGGGGAAGGGCACAGGGAGGGAGCTCCTTCTCAGCCCTGCCTGGGGTCGGGGGGTTCTCTGGCTACCAGTGTCCCTGGGGGAGTTCCTCGACCCCAGCTTCCTTCACTGAGGTAATTTCCCCCACCCTACCTCTGGCTCCAGATGTCTGAGGCTGCTGCCAAAGCCTGGCTCCTGGGTGTCAGAGGCAAGAAAGCAGAGAAATAGAGGCTGGGCCTCTAGGGGTCTTTGGGCTTATGGTGGCAAGGGCCAGGACTGTGTGCTGGGTGTCTGTGTGTGGCCGTAGATGAGGCACTGCCTCCCCCGCACCAAGATCCTGAGCTACCTGCACTTTTTCTTCTGCATAAGCCTGCTGGGAATGAGGGTGACTGGTACTGCCCCCTGCCCCTGAGAACCTGGACGCAGAGCCTACTCATTTCCCTTTCCTCCCCTGGCCTCCCCACCAACACCCGCCTTCTGCTGTGTCCCCAGGAGCTCTGGAGCCCCAGGACCATGGACACTCTTAACAGGAACCAGGGAGGCCCTGGATGCAAGACCCAAGCAATGGTAAAGGTGAGTAGGGTCAAGGCCAAGGGGCAAGAGGGCTGTTGGAGAGGGTGGGTTTGGCTCCTCTACCCACCTGTGGCCCCAGCCCAGGGATGAGAGCCCTTCCCCAGGTCCCAAGCCTATTAACAGCTAAGTCTATCTGAATCAGGTTAATTGGTTCACCCAGAATATACCCTTTGCAAGTCAGGAAGCGGCTTACAGATTGACCCTGGGCTGTGTCCCTCTCCTTGATCCGTGGCCCTGCCCTCCATTGTGATTTAGTTTTACGGAGGCAAGCAATGGCCAAAGGGATGGCCACAGACAAGTCTACAGTGACAAGTCTGCATTGGCCCTCCTCTGCAGTACCCCTTCTCCTCCCCAGCATCCGCTTGCTCCCCTTACTTTCTCCTTGTTTCTGTCTTAATAGACAAAAGGGGCAGTTAAACCAAGACTTGAGATAAATCCAGTGGGACGAGTTAGTGGCCTAGATTCAGATCTCCTTACAATTTAGTGTGATAATGCTCCGTGCAAGATTTTGTGCTGAGCCTTTCCGACACCCTCAGAGCCCTTTGGAGCCCTTTGGAGAGGGCAAGTGCCAGAGAGGGTGTCAGTATGACTGGGCGCTCAGGGTCTGGCCTGAAGTTTCTCATGATGCTCATCCCTCACCCCCACTGCCTGCAGAAAGGGCCCTTGGACCTGATTGAGACAGGCAAAGGGCTGAAAGTGCAAACGGACAAACCACATCTGGTGAGCCTGGGCAGTGGGCGGCTCAGCACGGCTATCACCCTTCTGCCTCTGGAGGAAGGTAAGTCTGGAGGGGCGGCTCCCCTGCCACCCCTCTGTCCTTCCAGACATTTCTGCCCCTGATCCCAGGCATGTGCTGGGGCCCTTCTGCCCTTTGTCCACCATGTTCGCCTCTCCCAGATGCGAGGCCATGCCACCCCACTTCACCAGCTTGCCCCCCTTGTCCCGGCCCCGCTGGACTGCCTGACGCTCTTTGGTAGATAATCTGGCTCCGGGACTGCGATTAAAGATCAGTTTAGAAACGAGGAGAGCACTGAAACAGGAGAGTCCATTGCTCTTAGCAACCAGTGTGGCCAAGAAGAAAGGGGCCCCGTTCCAGGGCGATGCCTGGCGTGGGAGCAGGTACCTGTGGAGCATGGAGGGCCGGAGGGCCAGGAGTAGGGGCAGACCTCCCAAGATAAGGCCCTGGCCCGGCCCCCTTCCCCGGTGGCTTCTGCCCTGCCTGGCTTCTCCCTGGGCTGCACTTGTTGCCTGGGTGATTCTACATTCCCCACATTCTCCAAATACCAGTCCCGGGGGCTCTGCCAGGGGGAGCTGTGCAAGCTGCAGCACGGAGGGGAGCGAGGAAGGGCGAGGGTTGCAGGTGCAGAAAGGGGGAGAGAAGAATGAGAGATGGCAGATTTGGAGGAACAGAGTGGGGAGCGGGTTGGAGGAGGAAAAGGACTTGAGGACGAGGAGTTGGAAGGACTAAAGGAAGGTCTGCAGAAAAGAAGCTCCCCTTCTCTGTCCATGGAGCCTGGATGCTCTGTGCCCTCTGGGAACCCCCATCTGTGAGCCAGAGTTTTCTTCCAGAGTTCCTACCCCTGACTGGCCCCACCAGGCTCAGGGGTCCAAAAGGGGCAGCCGGTCGTAGGCAGCGACCCTTCGTGAAGAAGGAGGTGGGCTTGTATTTCCTTTGCTGCCCTCCCGACCCAGCCTCTGACTCATTTTGCCTTCCGGCTTCAGGGAAGACAGTGATTGGCTCCGCGGCCAGGGACATCTCACTGCAGGGTCCGGGCCTGGCTCCAGAGCACTGCTACATCGAGAACGTGCGGGGCACCCTCACCCTCTACCCTTGTGGCAACGTCTGCAGTATCGATGGGCTCCCTGCCCGGCAGCCCACCCGGCTCACTCAGGGTAAGGCGTGCCGCCCCCCCCCCCCCCCCCCAGCCAGAGGCATCGGTCTCTGTTAACAGAAGAGCCTTGGCCAGGGGCTGGAGAAGCCTGCTGTGGAGGTTGCCATGGTAACCGCCGAGGGGCCACACGGAGCCAGTGGGATGCTCAGGTGCCTCTGGACGTGCCTCAGGAACATCCCAAATTCCTCTAGCATCCAGATTTGTCTTCAGCCTGCTTTTCTTCTCTGGTCACCTCTTCGGTAGGGGGACGTGGCGGGGAGAGGTTCTGATGACCGCATTCAAAGGGCGGGGGGGGGGGAGCGGCGGAGTGGTCATTAGTGATGGTTAAGGGAGAGCAGTTGGAGCAACAGTGAGGACAACCCTGGCGTTGTTCCGTGATGCCAAGAGGGAGTTGGTCTGAAAAGACGCAGAGGTGGAGAGGGTGGCCAGTACCCCCTGATGGGGATGGAGCAAAGGGGCGAGCTGAGGACACGTTCACTCCTGGTAAAATGCTGTTGACAGTAGCTTTGGGGTCATGAATATGGTTACCACCCCGTTCCCCAAAGCCACAGGCCATTCCGTTGTGTCAGGTGGCTCTGAAAACTGGGGCCCCTAGTTCCTATGGTGACCGGGCAGTTTAGGGGTCGGCCCAGGTGGCACTTTGACAGACCAGGTGTGTCTGCCCTGGACATCCATTTATACAATGAATCGTCACATTAGGGGAGTGAGCAAAGCACGCTTGGGGTGGGGGTAGAGGTGGGGTTGACGCGAGGCTGGGAACTATGGGCCAAGCCTGGCTCTGAGCGGGAGGACTAACATCCCACCACCGTTTTCTGGGGACTCTCGCCTCTTCCTGGCTGGAAGCTCCTTGGCAGTGGAAATCCCACTCATTCCTTTGTTTCCCTCTGTCCTTCTGTTCACACCCCTTAGGCTCTCTTTAGATGCTACTCCCTTCACAGCTGACCCAGGAGACCCAACCTTGCCCTACTCCTTTTTTCTTGCCCTTGGGAGTGTGAGGGGGACATGTGGCTTTAGGGATGCAGGTCCGCCAGCGGCAGCCGCAGCAAGCAGGCCCTTGCCTCTTCCGGGGCTTCAAGTTGTCTGACTCCAGATGAGATGAAGAACCCCCATAAATTGGGGCTTTGGCTGTGATGCCATCTGGTTCCTGACAGTCCCTTTCAACCTCCAAGAGAACGTCCTCCCCAAGATTTGGGTGTGTGGAAGTGCGCTAGAAGAGCAGCACGGAGAGGGAGGGGCAGAGTTCAAAGAAGGCTATAAAGAACCCAGCCCTTACTCCCCGCAGCCCCCGGCCCCTCTCGCATCCATGGGCAAGGACACGTGTCTTGTGAGCAGGGTGGAGGGACGGATGCTCTGTAGGGCCTTCTGGTGCAGTCTTTCCAGAGCATCATTTAGTTCCCTGAGAAGAGGGAGGGCCTGGGTCAAGATGGAATTCTTAGGCATTTCCTGTGGCCCCGGTGACCCCTAACTCTTCCCCAGCCAAGGACCCACCCTGCCAAGTATGTACCCTCCCACTCTCTTCTGACCCTAAACCCCCTTCCCTTTGGCTCCCTCCCACTCCCATAGCCTCCTTGCCTGGGCTTGCCTGTCTCAGGAGCTTGGCAGCCCCGGGAGGGGTATGCAGAGGCACAAAGGAGCGGGTGTTCTTCCCCCTAGCATTCCCCCTCCCCTGGGCTCCCGGGAGCTGAGACTTTCCTTGTCTCATCTCTGGAGCAAGGCACCAAGCCCAGCCCTGCCTGGCCCCACTCCGGACATTCTTGGGAGTGCGTTTCCCTGGAAACTGGGTGGCTCGGGGAGGGGGGGGGTGCATGTGCTATCTCCGTGTGTCTGTGTAACTGGAGTGTGTTTATAGATCTCCGGATGTGTTTGTGACTCTGGGCTTGTGTATCGCTGTTTGTGTCTTTCCTTGTGTTTATGGATCAGCGTGTTCACGTGGGGGATGGGGGTGAACTCAGGACTGATGGTACCAAAGGGTCCATGTGTGCAGTCCCAGGTGGATTTGAGAACCCACTGGCCCCGTGCCTATCTGTGGGCATATGTACAAGAGGATCGCGTTCCCTGTCTTGTTCCCCTGCCCCAGCCTTATAGGAGGACCCTCCTCTTTGAAAAACAGAGGGCTACCCTATAAAGAACAAGGAGCCGGTTCTGGCCCGGCTAGGTCGTCCATAGATGCATCATTCTGGGCACTGTGCCAGCCAGAGGCAACTTGGGGAGGCACATGTCATGAGGAGTAGAGATGGCAGTGACAGGCTCTTCCAGCAGGACCATGCCTGGGCCTGGGGGGGCGGGGCGGAGAGGGGGAGCAGGCAGAAAGCAGACGCCAGCCTTTAGCTTTCGCTAAAGCTGCAGACACGGCAGCGTGGCGTGAGGGAGCCGAGGACGAGCCTGATCCCACCTCCATACCCCGGTGTTCTGGCACATCGCACGCTGTCCTCTTTTCTATGTGAGCAAGGAAATAGGAAGGAATCTCAATCGGCCGAGGCTGCCCCGCCCTGGGACCACAGCGCCAGACCACATGAAAGCTCTGGGAGGGGAAGGACCAGGGGAGGACCCAGAAAGCCACACAGCTCAGGGCCCAGGCTGTCTAGACAGTAGGTCCCCATCCACTCCCAGCATTCGCTGCCAGCCCAGTCTCCACGTCTCCTTCCCTCCCTAAGCCCCTCATTGGTGGGTAGGGGCTGTGTGAAGGCCAGAAGGGGGGGGGGGCTCCTCGGAACGTGGCCGGGGGAGCCTGGGCTTCCTGGGTAATCCAGCTATCTCCCTCTGCGATCCAGGACACTGAGCCTCTTCCTCTCCTACCCAATTATCAGTTATCCCTTCTGTAAAATGGGAGTGAAGCTTCCAGCCATCCTCTGCTATAAGATAAAGATCAAAAGAAGGAGAGAAAAAGCAAAGGCTTCTAGCTGCTCCCTTCTTCGCGCCTGCCTCCTGCCCTATTTCTCACTGGCGGGCATCCTCCGTGTCTGTCTGGGTCTGTCCAGCTGGCTGTCACAGTTTCCAGACCGATGAATCATTCTTCCTGAGATTTTTTTCTTAAAGCCTTCCCCTATTTTGCATTTAACCCTATATGGGTCTTCCATTTTCCTTCAGAAGGGGAGTGAGATACACGTGCGCGTGTGAGCCTGGGGTATGGCAGTGCAGGTAGGTGCTTGGCAAGGGTGGAGAAATCCTTTCTTTCTCTAAGGAGGTTGGCTTTTGATTTTAGAGTCTCTCCAGCGACTGAGTGAAAGGATGTCTGTGCCTGAATGAGTGTGTAACTAAGAGGGGTATTATGTGGGTGGGAATAAGCGTGTATGAGAGACAGGGTGTGTTCGGCTGGGGTGTTTGTGTGACTCGGTGTGCACAGCCAAGGCGGTGTCTGTGTGACTGGGCAAGTGTTGGTGTGTATCGGAGAACGTGTGTGAGGCGTGTGAGCTCTGAGCATATAGGGTACGTCTGAGAGAAAACACATTGTGTCCCTTAAGGTTCTGGTGTCCAGAGGGCGGGTCTCTGGAACAAGAGGAACTGTCTGGGGCCCGGGCTGGGGGCTGGGTACTTGCCTGGCCCAGAAGCCCAGCCAGCCCCTGGGGGCTCCAGAGACAGGTGGCACTGTGTTTTCCAGATGGGAAGGTGCCTCACTGGGGTGGGAGAGCTCTTCGGAAGACCAGCACAACTGGTGGTGGTGGTTGGGAGGAGGTGGGGTTGGCTTCCGGAGCCCCAGGGCGGTGGACTGGCTTGGAAGGGGCAGTGCCTTGGTCCAGCCTGGGTGGTGGGGTGAGCTGAGCTGAGCTGCTGGGCGTGTGGAGAGCAGGGTGGTGTTTAGGTTGGAGAGGGGAGCCGGGTTCAGTGCTGCTCACATTGCACAGAGCACCGCCTAGGCCTGAACTCCCAGCCCAGGAGTGATCCTGTCACAGTGCCTGCAGGGAGGGCCAGAGCTGGAACCTAGTGACCTAGCTGGAGCCCTGGGAGCCATGGAATGTCAGAGCCCAACCTTTGCTGTCAGTGAAGACAGCCTCCTCATTCTGTAGGTAAGGGATCTGAGGCCAGGGGGTGTGACTGGCCCAAGGTGACCAGCCAGCCGGGTTTGAGGCTGGCCCCTTCCGGGGCCTCCAGGGCTCTCAGTGAGACCCTGCTTCTCACTCCTGCCTCCCGACGCTTCACCCTCTGGCCTCTACTTAGCCTTACCTTTCCTTCCGTCAACTCCCCCCGCACCTTTCCTCCCCGTCTCACTTCTGCTCCTGCACCCCGGACTCGGAGTCCCCGGTCGGTCGGCTGGCCGCCCGCATCCTCCCGCCCCGCCCTCTCCATCCCGCTCCCCTCGCCTCTCCTCCATCACTTCCTCTTCCCCTCCTCCTCTCCTTTGTCCCTCCCTCCCTGGCTCCCTTCCCCCGCCGGTGGCCGGCCCGCCCCTCCCCGGGCCCTGGCGGCTGCTGGCTGCCTGGCGGCTAGCTGCTTTGAGCCTGGAGCCCGCGGCGGGAGGTCGGCCCGCGCCCCCTCGCAGGCCCGGGGCGGGCGGGGAGCCTGGAGGGCCCGAGCTAGCGGGGGCCGGCGCTGCGGAGGTCCGGGCTCGGCGGTGAGTCCTCCGCCCGGCCGGCCGCAGCTCCCGGGCAGCGGGCACCGAGGAGCGGGGAGGGGGGGGCGGGGGGCGGGGGGGAGACTGGGAGGGGCTGGGGTGGGGTGTTGAGGGCGCGACGGCGGGTCGGCGGGGGGGGGGGGGGGGGTGGCCCGGCTCCTCTGGAGGAGCGGGGGCGCTGTGAGACTCGATGGTCTGTGTGCCCTGAACATCTGTGAGTGGGAGGTCTGGGCTCGGGGCCACTCGTCGGCCGGCCAGACCTCATCTTCCCCCCTCCACCCCGCGCTCGGAAGTCCCCTCCATGGACCCGCCTCCGGAAGGGGTTGAGGGGTCCTGATGAGGATGGGGAAAGCCCGTGCTGGGGCTGAGAGGGGTGTCTGATGGAAGGGCGGGGGCCCTTCCTCGCATCTTCCCCTCACCCCAGCCTCCCTTTGGCCAGTCCATTCTATTTGTGTGGCCCGCTGAGCAGTGACTGTCAGTCCGTGAGTGTGGGAGCAGGTCTGCCCCCCTGTATGTTTCTGGGAGCGGGTATGTGTGTGAGCTTGTAGGAGAGAGTGTGTGTGCGCGGTGTTGCCCCTCCGTGTCTCTCAAGAGGTAGGATCCGCCCTCTCCTTTGCCCTGGTTGTTCTTTTTCTTTTCCCCTCCAGATGTGCAGCTTCTCCACCCACCTGCACACACACAGCTGGGCCCTGTGCCCTTTGGGGATGGGGGGCACCGGCCACAACTTTGCCTGGATGACAAGAGGTTCTTGGGTTTCCTGAATGGGCTGACCTTTGGAGGTGTGGGGCAGGAGTGGACCGAGAGAGGAGGTTACCTCCCAGAAATAGGCTAACCAGGCCCTTGGGGCAGTAGGGACTGGAGTTGGGGCAATGCCTGGGGCCCCTGAGTGCAAATAGAAAGTTAATTTGGGCAGGACTGAGCTGCTCTTGAGTCCTGTTGCCCTCCTGCCCACTCTATTAATACAGATTCAGCTCTGCTGCATCACCTATTTATAGCCCAGAGGCAGCAAGGCCACACCCCCTCTGTGGAGGAGGCTGAGGGGTAGAAAAGAGGGCAGGGAAGTCTCAGCTATAGAAGCCAGGGCCGAGGGTCTTTGGGTGCCAGGTCCTGGCACGATGGGCTGGAATCCACTCAGACTCCCCACCTCAGTCCCAGAGTGGGCTGTGTGATCAGGCTCCCAATCCTTGCCCACTAAACCCCACCCCACGCCACCCCACCCCACCCCACCCCCATCAATCTAGGATTGAGTGGGTCTGTCTAGACCCTGCGAACTCATCATTAATTAGCTTGTTAAAGGGCTGAAAGGAGGGGGAGGGGCCAGCAGGGTTCTTTCTGAAACAGCTGTGGTTGTAATTAGGTGGAAGTGTGGTTGGCTATTATTTATTCCGGTTATGATTACTCTGGGATCAGCTCCTCTGATTGGCGGCTTGTCCGGGAAGGCTCCTCTCTCTCCTAACCATCCATCAGTCTTTAGAATTGTTGGTGCCCGCCCGCTTGGGAGGGCCTCTGGGTGTGCCAGAGCAGTGGGTGGTTTTGTCCACTCTGGTTATCTGTTATGGGCTGCTCGGCCTGCTAGCCCCTTCCCTACCGGCCACAGTGACGCCTAAGGTCCCAGCAGTGGGCTCCTGAGCTCTTCAGTGGGGGTCTTTGGAGCCCACTAGTGCCATGGTATCCACGTGGCCTGGATGCCCCTTGCCCTTGTGGCTTGCCTGAGCTGAACTGTCTCAGCGTCCAGGAATGTAGACTTCCCTGCCAGTCTTAGCTCAGACTGGCATGAAGCTTGGGGGGTGCCAAGTGGCACCAGATTGGGTTGATAGGCTGGAGGCAGCGGCGTAGACAAAGTGGGAGGGTGGTTGTAGAGAGCACCAGGGCTCTGGCGTCTCCTAGCACAGCATCCTTTGCAGGAATCCTATAGTGTGGCCAGGAGGAGGAGTGCTGTGAGCCAGGCTCAGGTGCCCGTGGGCATACCTGCAGCTGTGCACACTCTTGGTGCCCCTGGCTACATTTCTGGCTCCCACACACCCTCCCCTCTCCATGTAGTCACACTTACTGGGCAGGACTGGGCTTGTGTCTGCTGCCTGGGAATGTGCTTGGCTGAGGCAGGGCCCACTGGCCCTAGGCTTGGTTAGATTCCAGAGAAGACCAAGGAGCAGGAAGATGGCAGGCCAGAGGGTGCTTTGTCAGAGAGAAAGAGGCTGATGGCTCTCCCCAGGCCACACGATGATAAGGAGGATGATAAGGAGTCGGAACCAGGAAGCAAAATCTGGTTCCTCTCGCGGCATCTAACTGATTCATGGTTTTCCCCTGTCCCCTCTCTCAGAGCTTTTTTTGATCCTGGAAATTGCTGCCTCTCAAATTGACTTTTCCACCCAAGGGGCAGATAGATGGACCACTGGTACAGGTTGAGGGGGGACATGGGTGTCTGTGTTCTCTGAAGAACCTCTGTTCACAAGACGCCGTCACATACGTTGTCTTTTTTTTTTTTTTTTTAAATTTTTTTTTTTTGAGAGAAAGAATGAGAGAGAGCGAGCACGAGACGGGGGAGGGTCAGAGGGAGAAGCAGGCCCCCCGCCGGGCAGGGAGCCCGATGATGCGGGACTCCATCCTGGGACTCCATCCCAGGACTCCAGGATCATGACCTGAGCCGAAGGCAGTTGCTTAACCAACTGAGCCACCCAGGCGGCCACATACATTGGTCTTATTAACTCTGCAAGGTTTGTGGTATTATCCTCATTCCTCTACTGAGAGAACTGGACTCAGAGGGGAGGTGACTTCACCTGAATATCTCACCACAAGTAACAAGAGTTAGGACTAGGAGTCCAATCTTGGGATTCACAAACCAGTGCTCTTTCCACTCTGCCCTGTCTCAAGGCAGGGTCAGACAGGGTCAGGCAGGGTCAGGCGGGGTCCGTGTAGACCCCGAGTGCGGGGACCACGGCTCTTTGGAGCCCACTGGTGCTTTGGGGTGAGGGCTGCATCAACCCTACCTGCCCTTCTCAGCATTTGCTTTCTCTGTAGGCTGTATGTTGTGCCTGGGCCAGTCCACCTTCCTCCGCTTTAACCACCCAGCCGAAGCCAAGTGGATGAAGAGCATGATTCCGGCCGGGGGCCGGGCCCCAGGGCCCCCCTACAGTCCTGGCTCAGGTAGATGCCCAGTTGGGGCCGGGGGTTGGGTTGGTGGTCCTCCTGGATGGTCCTCCTCCCTGCCCATTCCAGTTATGCTTGCGGTGTCAGGGCAGGACATTACCCATGGTCTGGGCTTGCTGCCACCTGCCATTGGGCCACTGGTGGAGAATGCCAGGCAGTCTGGCTACTGGGAGAGATCCAAGAAGTGCTGCTTGGCTGGGATTGGGGAATCATGTGCCCCAGGGACAGGGGGCTCTGGCAGCCCCACTGTACTGGAAGATGCCACCTCAGCGCCTGGGACCCTAACCACTAGGTGCCTCTTGTGTCACCACCAGTGAACCTCAGCCTTGACGGCGGCCTTAGGGGGCAGAAGGAGGCCTTAGGTCGAGCCCCTGCAGGCGCTGGGGGGTCCCACCTGCTGGTGATTAGGTCCTCGGGCCCTGCCCCTCCCCCAGACTATGCCAGCCTGTTACTCGGCGGAACGGCTGCCTTTAGTGTGTGACTTGTTGACCCCCAGGGGGGAGTGGGTGGTTGTTGCAGGGAGCCGGCACCATGCCCCTCAACCCAGCTGCCTAGGGGGTGGGGGAGGGGGGAGACCGCGGGGCCGCCAGTGAGCCCCGCGCCCGAGGCTCTGCGCATTCAAGAGGATGTCAGGTGTCAGTGTGGTACTGAGACAGGCGGACGTGGACGGCAGGTGAGCCCCACGGGAGCCTGGGTTCCCAGTCCACTCCCCGGCTGGCATTACCCTGCTCTCCCCCTTGCCTCGTCACGCCACTCCCACAGCTGTCTGGGGCGGTGGTTCTAGGGACTTTTGGCTGGTTGGCGAGGCCCGGGGCAGGGCCAAGGCAGGCTCTCGCTGGCGTGGCTCACTCAGTGGGCTAACAGTTGGAGGCACCAAGCTGCCGGCCGGCCTGCCTTCCAGGGGCTGCCCAGCTGTGGTGGGCCCTCCCCACCTCCGGCCGCACAGAATGGCACGGGACACCCTTCTTGCCCAGCGCTGGAGGTTTGGTTTGTGTTTTTTCCCGGGTTTCCGCTGCTGTGCTGGGAGGCCCTCATGTCCTATTAGACTGGACCCCCCCCCCCAACCCCGAACTTCTGGCCAGCTCCACAGCATGCCCCCGGCCCCTTTACAGAATGTCCATCTGCCCTTCCTGAACGAGAGGGATAGGAGGTTGGGGAAACCAAGGCGGGGAGGGGGCCTGTTCTTGGGGTGAGCCCAGCACCACTAGGCCTAGAAGTGGCTGGCACTGTTAGCAGCCCTGTCACAAGCCGGAAACGTCAGAGCCAGCAGAGAGCAGTGCCCATCCCCTTCCGTTATAGAAAGGAAGGCAACCGAGGGCAAGTGATTTAAGGTTGCCCAGCGGTTCAGTGGCAGAGGAGCACCCAGGTCACCTGGCTCTCCTAGCAGAGGCTAGGAGAAGGCCGGAGAGTGCCCTCATTCTCGTGCATCCATAGCTCCCCAGGGTTGAAGGCTAGGGCCTGAGATGTCTTTGCGTTTCCCACCAGCAGAGTCAGAAAGCCTGGTGAATGGCAACCACAGCCCACAGCCGGCAACCCGGGGACCCTCCGCCTGTGCCAGCCACAGTTCCCTGGTGAGCTCTATTGAGAAGGACCTGCAGGAAATCATGGATTCACTGGTGCTAGAGGAGCCTGGAGCTGCAGGCAAGAAGCCTGCCGCGACTTCCCCACTGTCGCCCATGGCTAATGGGGGGCGCTACTTGCTGTCCCCCCCAACCAGCCCTGGCGCCATGTCTGTGGGCTCCAGCTATGAGAACACGTCTCCAGCCTTCTCTCCACTCTCCTCACCAGCTAGCAGCGGAAGCTGTGCCAGCCACTCACCCAGCGGGCAGGAGCCAGCGCCTTCCATGCCCCCGCTGGTACCTGCCCGTTCTTCTAGCTACCATCTGGCCCTGCAGCCCCCACAGTCCCGACCGAGCGGTGCCCGCGCCTCTGAGAGCCCCCGCTTGGGCAGGAAAGGGGGTCATGAGAGGCCTCCCAGTCCTGGCCTCCGAGGCCTGCTGACAGACAGCCCTGCAGCCACTGTCTTGGCGGAGGCCCGCAGAGCCCCCGAGAGCCCCCGGCTGGGTGGACAGCTGCCCATGGTGGCTATCAGCCTGAGTGAGTACCCAGCTTCCGGGGCCCGAAGCCAACCCACCAGCATTCCTGGTAGCCCCAAGTTCCAGCCTCCAGTCCCTGCTCCCCGAAACAAGATTGGCACACTCCAGGACCGCCCTCCCAGCCCTTTCCGTGAGCTGCCGGGCACCGAGCGGCTGTTGACAACCAGCCCCTCACGCCAGCTGGTGGGCCGAACATTTTCCGATGGGCCAGCCGCCCGCACCCTGCAGCCTCCCGAGAGTCCCCGCCTGGGCCGGCGGGGCCTGGACAGTATGCGAGAACTCCCTCCGCTGAGCCCAGCTCTGTCCCGACGGGCACTGTCCCCCATGCCCACCAGGACTGCTCCAGATCCCAAGCTCACCAGAGAAGTGGCAGAGAGTCCCCGGCCCCGGCGCTGGGCCGCCCATGGGGCCTCACCAGAGGACTTCTCACTGACCCTGGGGGCTCGGGGCCGGAGGACACGGAGCCCCTCACCCACACTTGGGGAGTCCCTGGCACCCCGCAAGGGCAGCTTCAGCGGCAGGCTGAGCCCAGCCTACAGTCTGGGCTCTCTCACTGGGGCTTCGCCCCGCCAGAGCCCCCGCGCCCAGAGGAAGCTGTCCAGTGGGGACTTGCGGGTGCCTGTCACTCGGGAGCGGAAAAATAGCATCACAGAGATCAGTGACAATGAGGATGACCTCCTGGAGTACCACCGGCGGCAGCGCCAAGAACGGCTCTGGGAGCAGGAGATGGAGAGGCTGGTGAGCGGATGCCAGGGAGGCCGCCACCGCCCATGGCGGGGTCCCTGCCAGGGCGTGGGCAGGCCAGCTGGCCGAGTGGGAGGGGCCCTTGGAAGGGCCTGGGCTTCTCCAGCTTTTCTACTTGCAGGAGGCACCTTAGTGACCTGTACCTCAGGGGTTTGGTGCCCTGAAGAACTTTGCTTGGAATCTCAAAGGCTTTATTTTAAGTTCATGTTAATCTTGCTTTTCTTCTATAACACGGCATTCGTTTTAATGTATAAGTTAAATTTCGCGGTATTTACCTGAATATAACAAAGCTCTAGGAAAACGCACCACGTTTCTGCTGAGGCCTGGCACCTCTCAGCTGGAGAAGCGGGTCTTCCTGATGAGGAGGCTGAGGCCCAGAGGAGGGTGGGTGTGTCCGAGCTGGGGCAGGGCTGGAATTGGAATCTCCTGTCTTTCCAGGGCTCCTTTCTTAGAAGAGCCCCTTGTTCTTTAGAAAAGTTCCTTCTTTCTTTCTTCTTTTTGGTCTTTTGCAAATGTATAGGAGCTGCTCACCCTGGCCCAGGCAGGATCATCTGGGAAGGTGGGTGGCAGGGAAGGGCCGCCCCTGGCCTGACCCTGGGCGGGACCATCCGATTGTGATTGTGTGCATCGGCGTGCATGCACGCACATGTGGGGCTGCATTTGGGGGCCGGGTGTGGCTCTGGGCAGCTGTCCTAGGGACAGCATCTGAGTTGGGCGGGGGCCAGGATTCCCCGGATAGCGCAGGGAGCTCATGGGGGGTCTGGCTGGTGTGTAGACACTCAAGCACACGGACAGGAGAATGGATTGTGAGTAGCGCGGGGTTGCTGGGGGGCCCAGGGACCATGGGATTGGTTTGAGGAAGAGAACCAGAAATGAGGTTTGTCTGGAGAGCTTTTCAGAAGAGGTTGGGACAGCTTTGGGTGAGGTTGGAGGGTGCGGGCCAGTGCGTTTGTGTCGCGGGTTGGGGGAGAGATGAGGCAGGATCCCCAGTGTTTTCTGTCGCTACATCTTTTCACTGTTGTTGCCTTGGCCTCGAGGAGCATGCTTGGACCACCCTGGGGGCTCATCCTGGTTAGGGAGCAGTGAGTCTGGTGGAGGCAGAGTGAGGAGCCCAGGCTCCCCACCCCCAGGCACAAGCACACACCTCACCGCCAGCCCTGACCTGCCCCACCTGCCACTTTAAATCTTGGAGGCTACCTGCCCTGCCCCTCCCACCTCTGGCAGGCTGCTTATCTGGGTCCTAGGGCAGGGGCGGGGGCACTGGCCCAGCCTCCTGGGTGCCAGAGGCTCTGTTCCTGGTTTTGTTTTTGACATGGAACTGGGCAGGCAGCAGGAAGGAAGCTGGGTACGTGTCTGGGGTCACAGCTACACTGCAGTGAGAGACACCTGAGGTTGAGGTCCCCTGCAGAGCCATGGGTGCCTGGGAGCGGGGAGGGGGGAGCTTCAAGGCTAGAGTGCTGTGGATGAGAGAGGGGTCACAGATGCGGAGCACGATTGCACCGTCCCTCCTTCACTTCATGGGCCCCGAGAGGTATCTGGCTGGGGCTGTTTATGGGGACGGATGAAGTGGCAGTCACTTGGAGCACTCACAACTGGGCCTGGGCGCTCAAGGGCAGGCAGCGGCTCACCTGGCTGGGAAGACCCGGGGGGGGGGGGGCTGCCTGAGAGCACCTTGGAGCTGGGGCCAGCATGAGGACGACCGTGTCCCAGGTCTGTCTGGCCTGGTGTACACAGGCCGAGCACAGCTTTGCGGGAACCTGGGATCCCTAGCTGCCTGTGGGTCTGGTTTCCAGCCCAGTCTAGGTCAGTGCCCACCTGTCTGCATGCTAGGCTGTGTTTATCTGTGTGTGTGCTGGCGTGCGTCCGTGCATGCCAGGACCTGCCTGTTAATGTAAGCACAGCACATATGTTGTGTCCTCGTGGGTCAGGGCTGGTGTGTGTGGGGTGGGGGGTGGGGGTCCTGTGTACCCTTGTGTCTGTAGATCTCTGTGGGTCCGAGTCAGCATGAGCACCCGAGTGTTTATCAGTGTCTCGTTGTGGTCTTTAGCCTGCTCACCAGTTTGTGTCGCTGGGTGTCCACAAGGAAGCCCCCTTGGGGACAGAACGAAAGGGGAAAGGAAACTGGGAGATGGGAGGGGCTAGCCATGTGGGCAGGTGGCACAGTGGCTTTGGTTCGTCCTGCTTACTCCTGGGACACCCTCCTTCCCTTTGCTTCCGCAGGCCTTGGGTTTGGGGCTCTCCTGACTTCCTTCTGAGCTCCGAGTACCTGGTGTCCTAGCTCTCCGTCCTGGTAGCACGCCGCGCCTGGCTCCAGGTCTGCTGGGACCCGGCCTCCCTCGCCCACTCTCACGCGCTGCTCTGTGCACCCTCCCCAGGAACGCCAGCGCCTGGAGACCATTCTGAACCTGTGTGCTGAGTACAGCCGGGCCGACGGGGGGCCCGAGGCCGGGGAGCTGCCCAGCATTGGGGAGGCCACCGCAGCCTTGGCACTGGCAGCCCGGAGGCCCTCACGGGGCCTTTCAGGCGCCACTGGGGCCTCTGGGCGGAGCGCTGAGGAGCCTGGAGGTGCCCCCCAGCGCCTGTGGGAGTGCGTGGACCGCTCCGACGAGGAGAACCTCAGGGAGGAGTGCAGCAGCACTGAGAGCACCCAGCAGGAGGTGGGGCGGGGTGGGGGGTGCCTGGCGAGAGGGGCTGGGGGGCAGAGGAGGCCGGTGTGGCAGGGGCCGAGGTCCAGGGAGGGGGAGGTCACCGAAGGGGCAGGTTTGGGAAGAGACGGGATGAGAGGTGTTGATGCGGTCCCCAGGCTATGGATACGCTTTCTTTTTTTTTTTTTTTTTAAGATTTTATTTATTTATTTGAGAGAGAGAGAATGAGAGATAGCACGAGAGGGAAGAGGGTCAGAGGGAGAAGCAGACTCCCTGCTCAGCAGGAAGCCCGATGTGGGACTCCATCCCGGGACTCCAGGATCATGACCTGAGCCGAAGGCAGTCGCTCAACCAACTGAGCCACCCAGGCGCCCTGGATACGCTTTCTGCCCGGCCTTGCCGTGGGGCCTCCTCCGGGCCTGGAGCTCAGGGGTGAACTGCCATTGCCTTTGGCTGAGCTGGTTTTGCTTTCCTTGCGGGGAGGGGAGTTGGCCTCCTCTCTCCGTCTAGCTACCCCTTCCAAGTGCCCTGAGGAATGGGGGCTCCATTCTCTGAGTCTGATCATGGAAGGCTCCAGGCGCCCCCAGCTGATGGCTTCTCTCCCCCTGCAGCATGAAGATGCACCTGGCGCCAAGCTCCAGGCCGAGGCACTGGCCCTGGAAGAGGAGCGGGCTCAGGTGCTGGGGCGCGTGGAGCAGCTCAAGGTCCGCGTGAAGGAGCTGGAACAGCAGCTGCAGGAGTCGGCCCGGGAGGTGAGCCATGGGGGCCCTGGCTGCACTCTTTCCCCCGCCGAGGCAAGGCCTCTGGAGCGGCCTGAGTCCATCTGCCTTGACTGGCCCTCCTGTGGCCCTGGTGTCGCCCCCAGGCTGAAATGGAGCGGGCGTTGCTGCAGGGGGAGAGGGAGGCAGAGCGGGTGCTACTGCAGAAGGAGCAGAAGGCAATGGACCAGCTGCAGGAGAAGTTGGTGACCTTGGAGACCGGCATCCAGAAGGAGAGGGACAAGGTAACGCACAGCTGGCCTGGCCCAGGCTGGCTACCGGTGGCCTGGGGGAGGGGCAGTGCCTCCTCTAGGCCTCTCACCCCTTCCCTCGTCAGCCATCCTTCAGACCCGGCGGTTCCTGTGTCGCCCAGGGGCAGGGGGCCTTGTCCTCTGTGGAAGGTACCAGCTTGAAGGGCACTGTCAGGGCCTGGGCTGGGGTCTGGGGTCTCCTCTGTCTGGGTCTCTGTGCTACCTCTGGGTGCCAGCCATTCCCGGTCCTTCGTGGCCCTTCTAGGCAGTGCCAAAACCGCTTCCTGGGCAGTGAGCACAGCCTGAGGGCCTGGGGAAATGGGGAAGTGGTTCGGGATTGGGTCCCTCCAACGAGAGAATGTCTCCTGCCCGGCGTGCCTCCGGTGCTCAGGATGTGATCTCTGGGAGACGGCCCTCACGTCTCTGCTTCCCCTGAGCCTTCAGGATCTGCAGCCTCCCATCCCAGGTGGTCCCAGCTTCTGCCCCCGCCCTTTTCAGATCCCGTGCCAGCCTGCAGGGGGCGCTCCGTCCCACAGGAGCCGAGCCCGCCAGGCCCGAGATGCCCAACAACGTGCCAGAAGCTCTGGAGTGTGGAGCGGGGCCACCTCTTTCTGGACTTATGACAGTATTTTTTCCAAGAATTAAATTTCCTTCTGAATTTTTTGAGAGCGTCTTCCTCCTGTCCCAATTTTGAGAGTCTTAAAAATTCTTTGACGTCCCTGCATTTTTTTTTTTTTTTTTTTTTTTTTGGAGCTTTGGCTCTGGCCCCTAAAACCACACTCCCAAATTCTGTGCCAAATTAACTCCACGCTTACCAACCAGGCCTGCACTAATGCCCCCTCTAATCACTGTCCTGGGCTCTCCGCATGCCCCTAACTGCCAGTGCCACCCAGGCAGGGCTGAGCCACGCCTGCTTTTGTACTAACTCCAGGGGCAACCGCCGTGCCCTTGACCTCTCCCTGTCTAATTCTGCCTCCTTCCTTTCTTGGTGTGGGACCCCAGGGTTTTGATCAGAAAGGAATGGACAGGGGGCACAGCTCAACTTTACTCAATGGTGCATTGGCAGGAGGGGTAAAGGTTGGGGGAAATGCCTAGCCGGGGAGCTTCTCAGCCTGAAGAGCGCCCCCCATTTGGAAGAGTCCTGGGTGCTACCTCCATACAGCAGGGAGAAGCCGGCTGTCCTCTAGCCATCTGCCTCCCTTCCCTCTCTTGCTTTCGGAGCTGAGGGGTCTGGAGGTGCAGCTGGGGAGGCATGGCCTGGGGAGGGTTTGGACGGGTTCTCTCTGCCACACTGTGGCTGCCCTTCCCAGCTTCCGCCCTGGGGTTTCCCAAGCTCAAATACCCCAGCCGGAGGGTGGGAATGTGTAGGCCTCTTCCCTTCTCCCACCCCTGAGCCATCGGGAACGTAGGGTGTTGTAAAGGCTGAGTCCAATGAGGGGGAGGTTCTTGGACCCCAGGAACTGGCCTGATTGGGTCCTCCTCTCCCTGGATGGGGGAGAGTGGGTCGGGGGAGGGCGGGGCAGGATTCCACATAGGGATTTACTTCAAGTAAGCTCAGCATTTCAGAGGGAAGCTGCCTAACTTCCTTTCTCACTGACCTGGCATCGCCTGGAAGTCAGGACTGTGCCTTCTCTCTGAGCCCAGTTATTTGAGGTGGTGGTGGGGGGTGGGGGTGGTGGCCGTGGGGAAGGTTCACTCGGCTTTCCTCCCCAGCCCACAGCCCCACTCTGGTTTTGGAATCAGTAATCATAGTTTCTCCTCTGCCTGTCCTTCGGAGGGGTGACTCACCAGCTCCTCCCCTCGTCCCCCTTCCCGCCCTTGGAGGTGTCATCTCGCCCCAGACAGAGCTATCCACCTCCTCTCTGTACCCACTCCTGGGGCTCCTGTTGCCACGGTAACGGCCGAACTAATTGCAACCCTCTTCTGCTGGAGTTCAGCCTGCAGCACCAGCCCCCCACCTCCACGCCGGGCAGGAGGGAGGGAGGCCCCGGGAGTCGGGCTGGGGTCCCGCCGCTGCACTGACTGCCCGGAGCTTTGACATCTCCAGCTTTGAGTCACTCCCAGCCCCTGCACTTAACCCTCCGCCGGCTCTACCCTTTGCCCCAGGGCGAAATGTTGGTCTCCAGGCGGTGGAAGAGGGGGAGAAGCAGGGACCAGAGGCTGGGCGTCTGTGATGGGGAAGCAGCTTCGGCCTTGATGGGTTTGGAGAGAAGACAGAGGGCTTTTCTTAGGACCTCCCCAAACAGTTTCTAGTCCAGGGGACTCCAAGAGACCAAAATTTCTGCCCGAGAGCCGCCCGTCTGGCTGTCGGACACGGCCCCCTGCACCTGCGAGTGTCCTGCGCCTCTCCCGTGCTTCACCCCTCCCACACGCCTTCCCCCCTCTCTTCCTCTCTCTCCTGCTTATCCTCCTTTGTTCTTCCTCGGCTTCTTCCCCCCACCGCCCTGCCGCTCCCCGGCTCTGGCTCTTTCCCTCCCTGGCCGCCCCCCCCCATGGCTGCCGCTGCCCGCGGGCCAGAGTTGAGGAGTGTGTGTTCTGTTTCTCCCCTGTGCCCGCCCTCCCCCCCCCCTCCCGCCGACCAGGAGAGGGCGGAGCTGGCCACGGGACGGAGGCACCTGGAGGCCCGCCAGGCGCTCTACGCCGAGCTCCAGACGCAGCTCGATAACTGCCCCGAGTCAGTGCGGGAACAGTTACAGGAGCAGCTGAGAAGGGTCAGTTTCACCAGCCCCCCTTCCCTGGCCCCCGAGGGCCACCCACCCAGAAGAGAGGAGAGCGGTGGGACGGGACCACCTGGGCCCTGCAGTACCTGCCGGACACCAGGGTCGGTGCTGTGGCTTGGAGGGGACTGGGAAGGATGGGGGGAGCGCTTTTCTCCTTTCTGCTACTCCAGGCACTGATGCCCCGAGCAAGGGGCAAAGCCAAGCAGAGGAAAGGGGGTTGGGCGGGGGCAGGTCCCTTCCCTGATTTCCCTGGGGCCAGCCCTCAGAACTCCCCTGCCCCCCGCTCTGTGGCCTGGCCTTCCAGGCCCGGAGTGGTACCGAGCACCACCTGACCCCCTCTGTCACTGTCGTTCAAGGAGGCCGAGGCCCTGGAGACGGAGACAAAGCTGTTTGAGGACTTGGAGTTCCAGCAGCTGGAGCGGGAGAGCCGCGTGGAGGAGGAGCGGGAGCTGACTGGCCAGGGGCTGCTCCGGAGCAAGGCCGAGCTGCTCCGCAGCATCACCAAGAGGAAGGTGTGCGCCGCCCCATCCCCTGCCCAGAGCCAGAGGGGAGGTTGGAGGCCAATGAGTTGGATCCCAGCTGATGACCCCCTAAAAGCTAACTTTACCTTTCTGAGCCTCAGTTTCCCTCTCTGCAAACCAAGAACAGCCTGTCGAGAGAATGAAGCAGGACGGTGTGTGTGAGGACAGCCTGGGCCCCGAGGGTAGTCTGAGGGCGCTTGGGCGGACGGCAGGCGCTGTTAGTGAGTGTGGGCTCCCAGTGGAGAGTGGACGGGGCCCCCGTTCGGAGCCGGCCCGGGTGGGCAGAGAAATGAAAGGTCGAGATGGGGGAGGAGGAGGCTGGGGGGAGGCTTGCTGCTCTTGTAGATCTGTCTGTCTGGTGGACGTGCTGGGAAACATACAAGGTGCTGAGGTCTGGATATCGAGCCAACCGGTGGTCCTAGAAAGGGCATCCCCTAGGCTCCAGCTGTGGCTCAGCCTTAGCTGAGCCAGAAAACAAGGGGATTGTGTATGGTATCCTCACCAGTTCTGGAGCTCCAGATGCGGTGATCCTCTGCTCCTGATCTCAGCCAGCCCAGGATAGGGTGTGTGTGTGTGTGTGTGTGTATGTGAAGGTGGGGAGTACATTTGGGAGGAGGCTTGTGTTAAGTCGGGGAGGAGAAGGGGGAGGATGGTCCAGCAGCTCATGTGCCTGAGACGGCTGGAGTGAGTGGGTGGGAGGTAAGGGCAGTGAGATCGGGGGAGGGGTGTTGAAAATGGTGGCTGGGGTCTCGAGGGCTAGCCTGAGTCTGGTGCTATGTGGGGAGCTGCTGGCCCTCCCCCTGCGTCTGGATCCCTTGCCCCTCTCCCTCAGTTTCTCTGCCTTACAAATGCATCCGCTTCCAGATGCGAGACAGATGGAAGGAAGGAAGCAAGCTAGCATTGCCCAAGCACGTGGTGTGTGCCAGGAGGCTTGCTTGGGTTATCTTATGCCAACCTTACAACGCTCTCACAGGCCAGTGCTCTTATCCTCATTTTATAGACAAGGAAACGAGGGCTCAGAGAAGCTACGTATCTGCCCCACACCTCTCAGCTTACAAGCTTCAGCGTCAGCATTGGACCCCAGGCCCGCCTGGCCCCAAAGTATCTGTTCCTTATGCTGTACTGCCCTGGGGCCAGGGGCTGGCACTTCTCCAGCCTCTTCCTCTTCCCTTTGGAGAGGATGCAGCCGGGAGCCCTAGATCAGCTCATCCCATCCCTTTGAGGTCCTGGTGGGTGTAAGCTCCAGGGAGTTTGGGAGGGGTCAGCAGGATTCGACCCCTGTTGTCTCCTCCCCATGCCCACCCTGGCTGCTAGGAACCGAGCTGAGCCACTGGGACCCTGGGGGTCTCATTCTTTCCCTTGCCTTCTCCTGAGCCTGTTCAGCCTCCCCTCCTCCCTCAGCTCCCAGTGTCCCACCCGTGCCAGGCTGCATCTGCCCTGGTGTCTGGTGCTCCCGTCTCCACTGTGATCCAGAGTGGTTCAGAGTACTGGTTTTGGAGTCCCAACAGATTTGGTTCTAATCCCAGCTCTAGCACTCATTAGCTCCTAAATATGTCAGGTTTTTTATTAAGATTTTATTTATTTATTTATTTGAGAAAGAGTGTGGGTGCGTGTGTGCTCAAGTGAGGGGAGGGGCAAAGGGAGAGGGAGAAGCAGACTCCCCGCTGAGCAGGGAACCTCACATGGGGCTTGATCCCAGGACCCTGAGATCATGACCTGAGCCAAAGGCTCAACTGAGCCACCCAGGTGCCCCATGTCAGTGTTCTTATCTGTAAAATGGGCACAAAGGCACCTGCCTCAAAAGAGGATTAAATGAGGTAACAAATGCAAAGCATTTAGCGCAGTTTTTGAGTACTAACAGGTTCTCAATAAACAGCAGATTTTGCTGTGGGGATTACCCCTTGGGCTGACCCCAGATCTAGGACAGCTCCCTTCTTCCCTCCCTCCTTGCTCACGTCTTACTCTCTTAAAGGTGGTGGTTTAAGGCCACTTCTTTCAGGAAGCCCTCCTGGGATTAACCCAGCCCATTTTCCCCCCCATCCCCCATCCTTCTCTCTCACGTTATTCTCTTTTCATTTCCTTTTAGCCCATGGTTGTTGAGCCAGGCACTGTGCTAAGCTCTACTGGGGAAATGAAGGCAGAATCTAAGACACTGACCCTGCCCTTGGATGGGACAGCCTGGGTTGGGTGGTGATGGAGACACATGTTCACAAGTACCAGTAGTATGAGGCAGAGGGCGCTACAGAGTCATCTGAGCACAGAGGGAGGAGCAGAGAAATGAGTGGTGATTGAGGAAGGTGTTGGGAGAGAAAGTAGCGCTCGGTCAGGCCTTGGAGGATAAGTGAGCCCTCGGTGGTGGAAGGTCGGGGGCCGCTCTCCCCGGCTAAGGGGGGCGGTGTTAGAAAGGCCTGAGAGCGTGCAGCTTCGCAGCTTGCTGTACCCCGCGGCCAGACTCCGGGGACTCGGTGGAGGCCCCGTTCCAGGAGCCCTCAAATGCCGGCCTCAGAGTCCCTGCTCTGGCCTGTGAGTAGTGGGGAGTCACTTGAAGATTTTGAGGAGAGGAGTCATCTAACCTTACTGGTGAATTTTTAAAAAATTATTCAAGTAATGTGTATATATTTTTGGAAGGGTTCGAAAATTCAGATAAGCAAACAAAAACAAACCTCCAAGGCCATTTTAAGAAGGTATCTGTGGCAGTGTGGAGCCCACCAGACAGTCGAGAGAGTGGGAGCGGGAGGCTGGTGAGGAGGTCCCGGCCGGGAAGGCAGCAGACTTGGCGGGGGGGCCGGGGCAGGTGGGGAACTCTTCACTGCGCCCCGGGTTCTGGACTCGCTGACAGCAGGGCACAGGAGTTGCTGGTTGAGGGAGGGCTGAGGGGAGAGCTGACCGTAGTTGCCTGTTTTCCCCCGGGGTGAGTGGAAGCCAAGCAGAGGGGCTGGTTGATGCCTTCCGCCCAAGCCACGGGTCTCCCCGTGGGCTCAGCCCTGTTGTCTCCCAGGCCTGACCGACTGGCTCCCCTCTCCTCCAGGAGCGCCTGGCAATCCTGGACAGCCAGGCAGGGCAGATCCGGGCCCAGGCCGTGCAAGAGTCAGAGCGCCTGGCAAGGGACAAGAACGCTTCCCTGCAGCTGCTGCAGAAGGTAGCCCAGGCGGGGTGGGCTGGGGCGCGATGGTGGGAGACGTGTGTGGAGGCCAGGCGGGACCCCCTTCCCTTGGTCTTCCCTCGTGCCGACTCGGCCCCTTGGGGCTTGCAGGAGAAGGAGAGACTGACTGTGCTGGAGGGGAGATACCACTCACTCACAGGAGGCCGGCCCTTCCCGAAGACCACATCCACCCTCAGAGAGGTAATGAACGTGCTGGGCTCGGCCCTAGCTTCAGGCCCAGCGGGTCTCTCGGGAGGCTCTGGAGCCACATGGGGCACCTTCGCCGCTGAGGTTGAGTATGGGGACATTTTCCCGAACTGGAGAGGTCTGAGTAGGAATGGCCCTGACGTCTGGGATTTGAGCCTCTGTGGCCACCAGCTGCTGCTTTTCAGATACCTTTCTGGCTTGGAGGAGCTTACTGATGCTGCCATTTTGGGTATTTAAATACATCTGGGGGTCTCAGGACGCATGAGTGGGGAGGACAGACAGCTCGGAGGTTTGGTAAGGGCTAGGGCTGGGTAGACTCCCTTTGAGGGGGAGCACAGGAATCTAGGGGTCCTGAGCTTGGAGCTCCTTGGGCTTCAGTCTAGAGCAAGGCTCTTGGCTGAGAAGTGGGCTCTGACGTCCCTTAAGGCGTTCTTTCCCGAGTCTTTGCATGCCTGGGGTGTAAGGTCCAACCAGGATGTGCCCCAGTTCCCAAGCTCTTTACCTGCCTCACTGCACAAGCAACTGAGGCCCGGGGCGGGGTGGCTGGGCTGCGTGAGGGGAGAGGCCCCTCACCATGTACCCTCTCTGTAGGCTGAACTGCTCATCTCCGAGTCCTCAGAGATGGGGCTGGGATCTGCGACTCTGGTCCCTTTCCCAGGGTCTTCTGAGCCTGGGGCCTCCTCTGTCCCCCTAACCCCACCTGCTTCCACTCAGCTCAGCCCCAAAGCACAAGAGGTAATCACAGCTAACTGCCTGCCCTGCTGTGCCCACTGCCTGCCTGCTTGCTGAGCTCCCGCCTACAGCTTCCCCCACGGGCCCAGCTGAAGGGCGTGTGGCCATTACCCTTTGGCCAGAGTTTGTGAGAGTGTGAGTGCGTGTGCCATCCTGCTGTTCCTGAGAGGGCCTGTGCAGCCCGTGCAAAACCAGAGCACCGATTTGCGTATTACTTTGCACATGTTCTGCATGCCATTCATCAGTTCTCACAACCCACTGGATCCTCTAGCTCATTTTCTTTTTCCCTGACCCCTGGAGGACAGTTGCCCTCTGGAGCTAGGCCAGGCTGGGGCTCCCTCTGGATAGGGGAGGCTTAGGCTCCTGTGTACTCAGCAGGATTCTGGATGCCTGCCATGCCTGGGACACCTAGATAAGCTCAGGGGTCTAAGGATATGCTCAGGGACTATGCCAGGCCCTGACCTCCCACCCCACTAGCTAGTGTGCTAGTATCTCTCTCCAAGTACTAACCCATGGGCACTGGGCCCATTTTTCCTCTTGGGCTTTGAGCTGTTCCCTGCTAAGGTCTCTCTCTCAAAGCCCGTCTAGCTCACCCCCTAGGGTGTTTCCATCCCACCCCTTCCAGCTCCTGCCCCAGCAGATGGGGTGCGAGGAGATGCTCGGGAATGGTGGCTGGTACTCCATGGATGCATGTGTGTGTGCCCCACTGGGGATGCCCAAGGTGTCGGAGACAGAAGGGTTGTCTGGGAGCCGGGTCCTGATCCTCAGTGGACTCTTGGAAGGCCTTCCCTCGGCTTCTCCTGTCCCCAGCCCAGAGCAAACCCATGGGTGGGCCTTTAGGGTCTGCCTGGATGATGGCAAGGCAGCTTCAAAAGGTAGAGGTCAAGAAGAGCCTTCAGACAGTTCTGCCTGCCCTTTTCTGGTCCCCCCCCCAACCTCTGCCCAACAGCTGTCTCCGGCCACGGTGGGCAGCTGAGCTCCCCACCCCTGCTCTGGATCTTGTATTGAATGGAGTGCTGGCCCTAAGGCATGGAGTTTGGGTGTTGGGTACCTGGTTGTACCCTGTTAACCTCCTTCTCTGCCCATCCCTCCCCCTCCCACCGGGCACCCTAGGAGTATGTGAGCCTGGCAGAGGTTCTCCAGCTGTGCTTCCGCTTGGACCCCCATGCTTCTGCCACCTCCCCCAGCGTGCTCGCCCAGGCCCTGCCTGACAGTGAGGTACCAGCCACGGAGGGAGCCCACCTGGGCCCCCTCGTGGGTGCCCAGATGGTGCCTCAGGCCTGGGTGGGGCTTGGGGGACAACAGGGTCTGTCTTCAGTGGTGAGGGAGAAGAGCAGCGGGCATAAGGGCGGTGGGGACTGGTTTCTTCTCTTCTCGGGGGCCTCGGGAGCTTCAGCTCCTGACGGCTCAGCGAGGGGCAGGCGTTCTGCTGTGGCGCCAGGGCGTCCTACTGAGAGGACTCGCCTTCCCGGGCTATGCAAGGCTCTGCTGCTCTTCGCTTCCTAGGATTACCCTTCCCTTGCCCATGGGCAGGGTCATCTCGTGCGTCGCAGTTCCATTAACCTCTTGTATTCCCTCCTGCATCCTGGCCTTCCCCCAAGTACGTGACGCTTGAGCAGCTAAAGGCGATGTGGGGCACCTCGCCCGTGCCCACAGCCCCTGCGCCAGGCCTGCCTTTCTGGGCCTCTGCCTCCCGGCACCTGGTTCCCACCACCTGCCTTCCTCCCGTGCTGCCCTCTTCCTCCTCCTCCGCTTCTCTCACGCCTTCACCCAAGGTTGGTGGTCTGTGTGTTCCTGCCACCCCCCCGCCCGCCCACGGCGGGTGTGGCCGTGCGCGTGCGTGTGTGCGTGCGCGCGCGCGCGCGCCGCTCGGGCTTCCCAGCTTCGGAGCTCCAGGCCGGCCCGGGAGTGCTCGGTGCCTGCGGGCGCTGGCCGGCCGGCCGGCATCAGAACTAACAGAGCACGAGTCTCCAGTCTGGGAGTTGTGTCCTGACTGTTCCTCTTTGCGCTCCGCGTGTTCGCAGCAACTGTTCTCTCACTGTTTTTCTCCTCCTTCTCTCTGTGCTGTCCTTTCTCCCTTCCTGCCTTCCCTTCCCCCTCACCTTCCTGCTTCCCCCCTGATCGAGGCCTGCCTTTACTCTTCCACCAACCTTCCCCTCCCCTCCCCTCCCCTCCTCTCCTCTCCCCTCCTGCCTGCTCTCCACGCCTGCTCCCCACGCCCCACTCCAGATGGAGGAGCTGCTTCTCCCTGCAGTAGACTTAGAGCAGTGGTACCAGGAGCTGATGGCCGGGCTGGGGACCGGCCCCGCGGCGGCCTCCCCGCGCTCCTCTCCCCCGCCTCTGCCCGCCAAAGCTTCCCGGCAGCTGCAGGTAACCCCTCTCCCCCTGCCCACCCCTCCCCGAGCCCTGCTCCTCTCTGCTCTGGGTACCTCCTGCTGGTCCAGCAGCCAGACAGCGCCACCTTAGATGGGGGGGTGGGGGAGGGGCGGTCAGTAGAGTCAGGGCAGAAAGGGGCCTCTGGGCCCTGAGGTCTCCTCATGGGCAGCGTCCTGGCCCTTTGGGCAGCTGGAGGGCCAGCCTGTGATCCACGGACGGCATAGAGGATTGCTGGTGCAGGGGAAGGGCCTTCCGGAGGGGGGGGTCAGGGTGGGGTGGGTCTGGTGCCTGGTGCTAGGGCAGACCATGGCTCTGCTCTGGCCCCCGCAGCGCTCAGGCCTGGAGTCTTTCCCTCCTTTGGGGGGGGGGGGGGGGGGGCTGGGCTGATGCCCTCTTGGGCCTCTTGCAGCTGGAACTAGTGTGGCCGGCATTTTGCTCTCCGGGTCTCCCCAGGGGTGACACTCGGGGGCAGTACTGGTGGGACAGACTTTGAAGTAACAGCCATGAGGACGTGCCCAGGCCTCCTCAGCGTTTCCATGGAGGGTACAGGTGACCTCAGCCTGTAGCCAGCTGCTAACCGTGGCATGGGGAAAGGGGTCAGGGCATGCTCCACTGACCTGCGGCTGTGCCCAGGACCCCAGCGCTCAAGATTCCCTCCTGGGGTGCAGGCACCGCACCTCTACGTTTGTGTCTCAGCTCTAATTCCATGTTCCCTTTGGGAGGAGTTCGATTCTTCTAGCACATGAGGCAGCTCTATCTGTACGTGTTTCGATTCACATGATCATCAGCAGTTCTCTCTCTGCTCTTACAGAGCAAACACTGGGGCCCAGAAAAGATAAGTCATCTCCTCAAGGCCCCACGACTAGGAAGTAGCAGAGCCTGTGCAAGGAGTCGGGGTTCTTGACTCCAGACCCCATATTCAGCAAACATGAGGGCTGGGAGGGAGCCTGACAGTTCCTTCGTCTAGCCCTGCTCTCTCCTTTTGCAGATCTAGGGCCCAGAGCTGGGAGGTACATGGCCCAAGGTCACACAGCCTGTTAGTGGCCGAGGCTGGACCAGAAGGAACCCCGGCCTCCCACTGGTCTCCCGCACAGCTCTGTCCAACCAATGTGATGTGAATGCCGCTTCACATGGGTCGATTTTCTGAGACCTTTTCTGAGATCTGGGACCAGGGATTGGTCCAGAGAGGAGCTGCCTGGAAAAGGCTTGGTGGCTGCCAGTAACACCCGTCCGTTGGGTTGGCTCAAGAAGCTCAATGCTGTTGTTGGCCTGGTGCTGGGGTGGGGCCTGGATCACAGTCAGCCTAGGTGACATGGGGGGTGCTGGCTGGTGGGGGGGGGGGGGGATCACCCCAGTGAGGATCTCTTCCCTCCAGGTTTACCGCTCCAAGATGGATGGTGAGGCCACAAGCCCCCTGCCCCGGACCCGCAGTGGCCCCCTCCCCTCTTCCTCTGGCTCTTCTTCCTCTTCCTCCCAGCTCAGCGTGGCTACCCTGGGCCGGAGCCCCTCCCCAAAGGTCTGACGACCGTGGGCATGGCTGGGGTAGGGATGTGGAGGCTGTGCCACTGGGGAGGGGTCAGAGCCGCCCAGGACAGCCTTGGGAGGGGGCGTTCTCCTGAGCCCCAGGTCCCAGTGCTCCATTCCCCCCGCAGAGTGCTCTACTCGCCCAGAACGGGACAGGTAGCCTCCCTCGCAACCTGGCGGCCACGCTGCAAGACATCGAGACCAAGCGCCAGCTGGCCCTGCAGCAGAAGGGTGAGTGGCTGCGGGCCTGCCCCCCCCGCTCTCCCCGGGGGGCCCTGGATATATGCCACCCGCCCCCCCGTGCCACACCTTTCGCAGGGTGTCTTTGCTTTAATGGCGTTCTAGGCAAGCACAGCAAGCATTTAGATTCAATATCTGAAGAAGAGCTTACTGGATGTCTGTCAAGAGACTAAGGGTTGGGGGCCGTGCGATCCTTCCCAGAGAGCTCAGCAAAGAAGGGAGATGCTTGTTGGTCTGAGCTGGGACGGACATTGCCCTGTCTGGAGGCAGGGGGTGCACCTGATGGCCTCCAGAGGTGGTTCCCTAAGATACCGGCTCTGGGGACCCAGGAGTCCTTGTTGCCTGTGTGCCTTTTGGTTGTTTTGAAAGCCCATGTCTGTGCGTCTTCCTCGTCTCATCCCCTCTGTGTCTCTCTACCCTACCCTCTGCCCGGGGCCCCCACACCAGGCGAGTCGCTTCCTGCCGAGCCCCCCCCAGCCGACAACCCAGCAGGTAGAGCGTTGGTCACTGGGGGCATTGCTTTGGTCAGGCAGCCCTGCCTGGGCATCTGCATGATGTATCCTGCGCAGGTCCTCGCTGCCGCCCCCCCCCCCAAGCTGAGCTGGGATGGGGTGTCCCTTGGTCTTGCCCCTCGAGTCGGGCTGGCTCTGCCTCAGCAGTGCTCTGCCTTGTCTCCCCTTCCTCCCTGCTGGTGTTGCTCTTGCTTATGCATCACTGCTGGGGCTGCATGGACACCCTGCTCACGGACCCCCTCCCCCACCCCTTCCCCTCCCCAGCAGGCGGCGGGGGGTGGTGCATGGGCCCTGCCCTGCTCTTCAGGCCATGGTTGTGAGCTGGAGGCACTGCCAGGGCAGGGGCAGTGCCCTGTGGGGCTTAGGATGCAGAAGGAGCGCTGCAGCCGGACGATGTGGCCGTGGCCGGTCGTGCAGGCAACCGAGTGCTGGCAGGGCAGCCAGACCTGGGGCTGGGGGGAGGGGGGGCCGAGGGTTGGGCCCTGTGCTGACCTCTCCCTGCTCCCCTCTTCCCTCTGTGATGCCAGTGTTCCCCAGAGGGCCTGCCGTGACTCTGCCCCCGCCCCTCCCGCAGGGCAGCAGGTGATTGAGGAGCAGCGGCGGCGCCTGGCCGAGTTGAAGCAGAAGGCTGCCGCCGAGGCGCAGTGCCAGTGGGATGCCCTGCACGGGGCGGCCCCCTTCCCGCCGGGCCCCTCCGGCTTCCCCCCGCTCATGCACCACTCCATCCTGCACCACCTGCCGGCCGGCCGGGAGCGCGGGGAGGACAGCGAGCATGCCTACGACACGCTGAGCCTGGAGAGCTCGGACAGCATGGAGACCAGCATCTCCACAGGCGGCAACTCGGCCTGCTCGCCCGACAACATGTCCAGGTACCCTCCCCGGGGGGCCGGCCCTGCCTCTGCCAGCCGCCTCCCGGCCCCCTGATGCCCCCCCCCCCGCTCTCCCCCTCCCCCAGCGCCAGCGGCCTGGACGTGGGCAAGATCGAGGAGATGGAGAAGATGCTGAAAGAAGCGCACGCGGAGAAGAGCCGGCTCATGGAGTCCAGGGTGAGGCAGGCCGGTGCCGGCCGCAGCCCCTCCGCCCCCGGGCTCCTCCAGACCTTCCCTCGAGGAAGAAAGGGTTTTAAAGTCAGTGTTCCTCAAGTGGAGGAGGCCTGGCCACGTGGCAGGTGTCGCAGCTCTTAGGACAAGAGGCGGCGGCACAGTAAGCGCTGTCCACCGTGAATCTGCCCAGCAGCGCCTTCCGGCCTTTGTGTGTTTGCCTCTGTGGGTGTTGGGTGTTGTGGCCGCCACGGGAGCTCCGATTCTGGTCTCCCCGGCGGCAGGTCCTTCCTCTCAGGGATGGCGAGGAAAGGCGGGAACGGGGGCCCAAGGGGTAGGACTAGAGGAGCAGGCAGGTGTCCAGGCCAGAGCAGGGGTGTCGGCGGAGGGGACGTGGGGGGCGCTGGGGGCTGAGGAGCCCGTGCCTGGGGAGGGGGGGGGGGGGTCTGTGTCCACCCTCCGGGCGCTCTGCGTCTCTGCAGGTGGGGGTGGGATTGGGGGGGTGGGAGGCAGCCGCTAGGCCAGCCAGAAAAGAAGACCTCTCAGTCGTACTCCCATCGAAGGAGGGCACATTTACGAGGAGCTCTTGGCAAACAGAAAGGAGACTCTGCTCACTTTTGAGCTGGGAAGAAATGGCAAACAGGAGCTCACGGTGTGAAGGTCGTTACTGTTGATGAGGACATAAAACGTCACTGACGTGCTTTGTGTTTGATGATTTGGTTTAAGGACTTTTAGACTCTTAAGAATGGCTTCTGTGAGTTCATTTTTTCCCCATAAAATTTGAAGTTCGACTACGCATGTTTGTTATTTGGCTTCAAAGGGCCTTAGTGATGATTAGGGAAGGACTACCTGAAAATATTCAGTATCAGGAAAAGTCCCTTAGGTGATGTGTGTGGTAGGAATTCAGGTAAGAAGTGTAAGAGCCTCGTTTATTCGGTGCTTCCGCCCTGCCGGCATCCGTGATGGGCCGTTTATATACACCACCTCGTGTACGTTTCCCTATGATCCCTGAAGGGAGGCGCCCTCAGCCCCATTTTACAGATGAGACGGTGGAGGCCGAGGGGGTTTGAATGTTGTTGTCAGGCTCACAGAGCTCATCCGGCAGAGCCCGGATCCGAGCACTTGAAAGTGTTTAACCCGACTGGGAAGGTGCTTGCAGAGGGTGGGTTTTGGGGGTGATGCTCCCTGGTGCCAGGCTGCCCTCTGAGGTGGGTGCCTCCCACAGCTCTGCCCCAGCTGAGGAGGGGCGGTGGGGGGAAGGGGCGGCAGAGGGCAAAGCCGTGGGCGCCGACCGCTGGCTTTGGGGGCAGGAGCGGGAGATGGAGCTCCGGCGGCAGGCCCTGGAGGAGGAGCGGAGGAGGCGTGAGCAGGTAGAGCGGAGGCTGCAGAGCGAGAGTGCCAGGAGGCAGCAGCTGGTGGAGAAGGAGGTCAAGATGCGGGAGAAACAGTTTTCCCAGGTGTGTGGGCGCTGGGGGTGCTGGGCGGTGGGCTTGAGGGTGGGCCTGGGGAGGGCTGGGGATACCCCGGGCTAGCCCTGGGGGCTGTAAAGCCTCTTCTCCAGAAAAGACTGCTGTTGGCTCAGTACAAGCAGAATTCTGTTTGGGACTTGTTCAGCCCCCAGGAACAGAGATCTGGGCGCG